GGGCTCATGGGGGTCCTGAAGGGTTGTGGGGGTTCCTGGTGGGGCACACGAGGTCTTGGGAGGACGCGTGAGGGTCCTGGGGGGGTCAAAGATGGGATTTTGTGGGGTCAGATGAGGTCCTGATGGAGTATGCCTGATCCAGGAAGGTCACGAGGGGATCCTGGGGTTCCCTCCTGGGGGGCACACAGGGTGCTGGGGTGAATTTTTGTGGGGAATGGGTTTTTTTTGGTGGGGAGGGCAACGTGGGGTCTTGGAGGAGTAGAGGGGAACACGGGGTCTTGTAGGAGCGGAGGATATGGGGTCCCCTACACACAGCCCTGTGCCCCCACCCACCAAAACACGCAGGGATCGCCGCATCCACGCCCCTTTGGGACCTCAGCGCTGTGTCCCCACCCCCCTAATTTCTCACCCACCCCCCTGCAGTACCTGCAGGCCAACGGCAACAACTGGCGCTGGTTCGACGACCGCTCGGGGCGCTGGTGCAGCTACAGCGCCAGCAACAACAGCACCATCGACGCCGCCTGGCGCGCCGGGGAGAGCAGCGTGCGATTCACCGCCGGCCGGCGCCGCTACACCGTGCAGTTCACCACCATGGTGCAGGTACTGCAGCTCCGGTGGCTCCTGCCTGGCGCCTGTTGTCACCTGCCTGTCACCCGTTGTCACCTCCGTGTCGCCGCTGGCACTTCTGTGTCACCTGGTCAGCTCCCTGTCACCCATTGGCACCTCCCTGTCACCCATTGGCACCTCCCTGTCACCTGCCTGTCACCCGTTGTCACCTCTGTGTCACCTCTGGCACCTCTGTGTCACCTCTGGCACTTCTTTGTCACCTGGTCACCTCCACGTCACCACTGGCACCTCCCTGTCACCCATTATCGCCTCCCTGGCACCTCCCTGTCACCCGTTGTCACCTCCGTGTCACTGCTGGCACCTTCATGTCACCGCTGGCACCTCTGTGTCACCTTGTCACCTCCACGTCACTGCTGGCACCTCCATGTCACCCATCGTTACCTCCCTGTCACCCATTGTCACCTCCATATCACTGCTGTCACCTCCCTGTCACCGCTGTCACCTCCCTGTCACCCATTGTCACCTCCATGTCACTGCTGGTACCTGGTCCTGATTGTCACCTCCCTGGCACTGCTGGCACCTCACTGTCACCACTTGCACCTTCACGTCACCCATTGTCACCTCCGTGTCACCTCTGGCACCTCTGTGTCACCTGGTCACTTCCCTGTCACTGCTGGCACCTCCCTGTCACCCATTGTCACCTTCCTGGCTCCTCCCTGGCACCCGTTGTCACCTCTGTGTCACTGCTGGCACCTCCATGTCACCACTGGCACCTCCACATCACCCATTGTCACCTCCATGTCACCTGGTCACTTCCCTGTCACTGCTGGCACCTCCATGTCACCCATTGTCACCTCCATGTCGCTGCTGGCACCTGGTCCTAGTTGTCACCTCCCTGTCACTGCTGTCACCTCCATCTCACCCATTGTCACCTTCATGTCACTGCTGGCACCTCTGTGACACCTGGTCACTTCCCTGTCACTGCTGTCACCTCCCTGTCACCTTTGTTACTTGGTCCTAGTTGTCACTTCATCATCATTGTCACCTCCATGTCACTGCTGTCACCTTCCTGTCACCACTGGCACCTCCGTGTCATCATTGTCACCTCCCTGTCACTGCTGGCTCCACTGTGTCACCTGGTCACCTCCCTGTCACTGCTGTCACCTCTCTGTCACCTTTGTTACTTGGTGCTCGTTGTCACCTCTCTGTGTCTGCTGTCACCTTCTCACTGTTGTCACCTCCTTTTCACCAGTGTCACCTTCCTACTTTTGTCACCTTCCCTTGGCTGATTTTGCCTTCTCACTTTTGTCACCTCCTTCGTAACGTTGTCACCTCCTTCGTAACGTTGTCACCTCCTTCTCACTAGTGACACCTCCTTTTGACCACTGTCACCTTCTCACTGTTGTCACCTTCTCACTGTTGTCACCTCCCCTTGGCTGTTGTCACTTTCTCATTGCTGTCACCTCTTGGCTGTTGTCACCTTCTCACATTTGTCACCTTCTCACCGTTGTCACTTTCTCACCGTTGTCATCTCCCTTTGGCTACTGTCACCTTCTCCCCGTTGTCACCTTCTCCCCGTTGTCACCTTCACCACCGTTGTCACCTTCTCCCCATTGTCACCTTCTCCCCACTGTCACCTTCACCACCGTTGTCACCTTCACCACCGTTGTCACCTTCTCCCCATTGTCACCTTCCCCACCGTTGTCACCTTCTCCCCATTGTCACCTTCTCACTGCTGTCACCTTCCCACCATTGTCACCTCCTCCCCGTTGTCACCTTCCCCCCCGCTGTCCCCCTTCCCCCATGACCGCCGTGTCACCGCTGTCCCCATTGCTGTCCCCCCCCTCAGGTGAACGAGGAGACGGGGAACCGGCGCCCAGTGATGCTGACCCTGCTGCGCTCCCCCCGGGGGGGCAAAGGGGGCCCGGCTGACAGCGAGCGGCCCCCTGAGGAGAGCCCAGCGAGGGCAAAGGAGGAGCCTGGAGCGGGTATGGGGAGGGGGCACGGGGTCCTGGGGGGGGGGAAACAGGAGGTGGGTGAGGGGTTATAGGGCCCGAGGGGCAGCTTGGAGACCATGGGGGGCAATTTGGGGATGGGGAGGGGGGTATTGGTGGCCATGGGGGGCAATTTGATGACCCTGGGGGGCAACTTGTTGGGCTTGGGGTCAATTTGATGACCTTGGGGGGCAACTTGTTGGCCTTGCATTCAATTTGATGATGTTGGGGGCAATTTGTTGGCCACGGGTTCAATTTGATGACCTTGGGGGGTAATTTTTTGGCTGCTGGGTCAGTTTGGTGACCGTAGGGGGCATTTTGTTGGCCATGGGTTCGTTCTGATGACCTTGGGAAGCAACTTGATGGCCACAGGATTGATTTGGTGGCCATGAGGGGCAATCTATTGGCCATGGGCTCAATCTGATGACCCTGGGTGGCAACTTGATGATCTTGGGGTCAAATTGATGACCCTGGGGGACAACTTGATGGCCACAGGATCGATTTGGTGGCCATGCGGGGCAATCTGTTGGCTGTGGGTTCAATCTGATGAACCTGGGTGGCAACTTGATGGTCTTGGGGTCAAATTGATGAACTTGGAGGCAATCTGTTGGCCATGGGTTCGACCTGATGATGTTGGGTGGCAATCTGTTGGCCATGGGTTCAGTTTGATGACCCTGGGGGGCAACTTGATGGTCTTGGGGTCAAATTGATGACCCTGAGGGGCAACTCGATGGCCACAGGATCAATTTGGTGGCCATGGGGTGCAATCTGTTGGCCATGGGCTCAATCTGATGACCCTGGGTGGCAATCTGTTGGCCATGGGTTCAGTTTGATGACCCTGGGTGGGAACTTGATGGTCTTGGGGTCAAACTGATGACCTTGGAGGCAATCTGTTGGCCACGGGTTCAATCTGATGACCGTGGGGAGCAACTCGATGGCCACAGGATCCATTTGATGACCTTGGAGGCAATCTGTTGGCCGTGGGTTCAATCTGATGACCCTGGGGGGCAACTTGCTGGCCGCAGGATCGATTTGATGACCTTGGGTGGCAATCTGTTGGCCATGGGTTCAGTTTGATGACCCTGGGTGGGAACTTGATGGTCTTCGGGTCAAACTGATGACCTTGGAGGCAATCTGTTGGCCACGGGTTCAATCTGATGACCCTGGGGGGCAACTCGATGGCCACAGGATCAATTTGATGACCTTGGAGGCAATCTGTTGGCTGTGGGTTCAATCTGATGACCTTGGGTGGCCTTGGGTGGCAATCTGTTGGCCGTGGGCTCAATCTGATGACCCTGGGGGGCAACTCGATGGCCA